TTTTTTTCAAATTTCGTCACTGATGACATGCGACCAAAGTTACAGCGTACAGACTATGTATATTTATAATTGGCATTTGTTTTGCAGTTTGCCTGCACGTCGTCTTTTGTGTGCAGAGCAAATAAGTCACTCATCTCCAAGGGCTCGGTACTACATGAGAATAAACAAGAGGCAGCACTTAAAAGGAAAGTTTCCAAGGAGGCGATTCGACGAAAGAAGGGAGACAGTAAAATGCTGTATGTTCTGGAGCAGTGCGGCTGGTACTACGAGGGTCTGAGCGCCGGCGGAGCTGAGCATTTACTTCAAGACACACAAGTAAGCAGTAATACATAGAGTATATATACATATATACATATACGCAGAAATGGTGATCCTGTCGTTTGAGCCTCTCCGAATTTGTAGTTTTTTCTTTTCTTACCTTAAAGCACACTTCAAATTAAGCGCTTTTAGCTGAACAATTTCCTGGATGGTCCAGAAATTAAGCATAGTGTGAGTATTTTTGGGCTTAATTTAGGGGCCATCCAGGAATTTTTTTCGCTGAAAGTGCTAAATTTGCAGTGTTCTTTACGGTAAAAGAAGAAAAACTAGAAAATTCGGAGGGACTCAAACGACATGATCCCCGCCCAGTTTTTCGATCTGATTTGAAATTCGAGAAAAATGTTACATACGAAACTTGTAGATATTAACGTCTAGTTTGGAGCTGGAAAGCTGAAAAAATACCGTTGAATAGTGCTCGAGGAGCCCGAGATTTTATAAAGAATAACCTTTTCCGACAGGAAGCGTCGTTTTCTAAAGAAAAAAAAATGTAAAATTTTGAAAAAAATCGCAGGGTTTTCACCCACTATTTTTTTTTTACTTTTTTTCGAACTATTCTTTGACAGGTGGTTAGATATGGAAAAGTTACATGATAAATCGACTTTGGTTGGTTCAAAAAAAATTCCTCTGTGTTTATGTAAAGTTCAATCAATAACCCTGTAGGTACACAGGGGCGGATCCAGCTTCAAAGTAAGGGGGGGGGTTATGTAGAAAAAATTCAGTCTTCTGTTGTCTATGAAACTAGAAAAATTATAGTCGTTTTGTGCAAGGGTGGCGCAAGATTATTTCAAAATTTCATGTTTTCCGTCCCGTTTTGCATGTTTCTCGGAAGCAAAATGAGCAAAAACGCTCGTTTTTACATCATTCCAGAGATAACCAAATGGCCTTTATTCGAAGTTTCTCAAGAACCATTTGAGCCACAGAATTCTTTTTGGCATCGTTGGATAGAGAATTGAAAAGTCGATTCAGTCAAAACAACGTGAGTGAGGAAATTCGAGTCGTTTTGACCCAGAAAGCGAAATTTGAATATCAGACACTTAGGTGCAAGATTATGCCAAAATTCCATGTTTTCCGTCCCTTTTTTGCTCATTTCTCGGAGGCAAAATGAGCAAGAACGCTCATTTGTACATCATTCTAGACAGAAATAAATGGCCTTTTTAGAAAGTGAACCATG